GACAATTGAAAAAAGACTCACGTTGTTTTTCTTAATTTACACATTTTATAGTCAAATTATGAAGTAGAAGGAGGCGTCCCCGTCATTTAAATGCATGTTTAAGAAAGGGGCAGTGATACATTGATGATATTTTAAAATCGACAAAAGCTTAGTACAGTATAGAGTATACTGCCCGATCATCTTGATTAAGTTTTTTTTTTATAACAGTCCATTACCAAGCTTTAAAATCTGCTATGTGGGACTCAAAATTTGTTTTTCTAACCTTTTTTTTTACTCACTTGATGTGGGCAGTATTGGTAAAGATGGTTAGAGCAATAACTTACATAGTTAAATCAAAGATCGAACATATGTACATGCCAACTCTTCAACATGTCAAAACTACTTATTCACAGAAAAATTAAAAAGGGAAATAAAGAAAGGGAGAAAGAAGGAAAAGAACTTACTTTCCGCTCAGTTCATTTTGATCAGTGGTTGTAAAAGAGTGAAATGTGGGATCAACCAATTCGTATTTCGTTGTGAACTCCGCTTCTATAAGTTAGAAAAAGTTGAAGAAAGGAGTTATAAGAATCTCGCTTCAATACAATCACGGTTTAGTTGAGGGAATGTACTACTTGGATGATAAAGCGAGCAAAAGAGAAGGGAGTTAGAAACAATACCAAATGAAAAAAATAAATGAAATTGAAATAAAATAACAAACAGACTAGCGAACTGACTTCGTTCATCGCCATTTCCAACCGGTACAGCCAATACTGCATCCCCTTTTTGCTGAAACAAGCAACAAATAAACGGAAGACATACATCCGAAATTAATCCCTCATCATTCACTTCCACTTAATATGATTAATAAATTATATTATTTTGCAATTTGACACTGCAAGTGTATAAAGACGTCCTTACTAAAATATTAAAAAAATCAGTTTACATCACGACAAGACTTATAACCGTAAACAATGACAATCCTCATTAAAGGACATCTTAAATATCTTAAAATCTTAAATCGCTAATACCGTTGTATTACTTACCGCTATACTACTCCGTATGTGCTTTTCCACGAAAAAAATGCTTTTATGAAATAACGACTAAGGGATGCTAATGTAGGACATGGAATGTATCCCTTAAACAATAAGAGCCAAGTGTTCGCCAACAAAACATCATACACTTGAATGACTTAACCATCGACCAGAGTAAACAACTGTTATAACGCTGGCATCGTCAGCCTTCTTTGGAAGGTTAACGCAAGATTTTCACGCTGTTTTCAAGAAATATACGGTGATGGCAACAAATCCCAGATAAACAACCTGTAGAGAATCTGATAAATTAATAGGAAGCATTGGTTCAACGGCTTTTGAGATTGTTTGTTCAGCATCAAGAACAGCTTGTGCAGTTAAGAATGTATCCACCAGATGTGCAACATTTGATGACGGCAACTGATTGGGTCGTGGTACCGATAATGGTCGATACCACTTGGTTTGCCTGCAAACAGAAAGGCTTGAAATACAATAGATCATGGAAAAAGTATCGCTTGATCGCAATTAAACTAAAAAAGTCTGATATGTGGCTATAATAAGATCCCTTATTACATCAACCATTACAGTGACATGATACTATTAATAATAAAAATTGAAAAATATTAAATTACTGAATAATTAAGTTCACTTAAATAGTTGTTAACAAAGGTTTTTAATGTCGACAAAATCTAGAAAAACAACAACTCTCACTCATACTGATCTCGTAAAAAGCTCATCGCTTCAAAATACGGCCAATTTGTTGCACCGTTCCGACGTTTACCATCATATAATCGTCGACGATACTTCTCGCTCAATTCGCGCCATGCTGATGCTACGACTTCAGCCGTTACTGAAATAGAAGCAATTTAGAATTTTATGTAAACGGAAGAAAAGTAGCAAAGTATGACTAGAAATTCCAAGCGTTCGTACTCCTTGTTTATTTCTCGAATAAGAAGAAAACTTCCTCTTATAGAAATAATAAGATGATACTATATGAACATATGCAAATATTTTCCGCACTATTACTCCTTTTACCAGTTAATGTTGCATATAACATTTAAAAGAGAATGCTGGTATAGTATTTACGTAACCGTAAGTACAAAATAGCATGAAGCATGAAATAATACGGCAAAACTACCTTAATATTTAATTCTTAATGAGTGAAACATTAGAAAGATGACTATTATCAATGAAAGGAATGCACTAACCAGCTTCCAAATTCAGTTGTTCCGCAATTTCAGCAAATCGATGAATTTTCAAATCGAAGTGAGTAATGTATGTAGTGGATGCACGATCCCAAATGCTTGGATCTTGTCGTATAATATTGATCAATTCAAAAATTGCCTCTGAACCGCCAGCTGTTTCGATTTGTTCCATTATAGTCTACCAGATCAAATTACCTATAAATATCTTGAAAAATATTTTAAGAGAAAAAAAAAATGTGAATAGAATATATTCGTTGCAATATGTATTACAAGTCTAATTTATGTATGAATAAGTGCTTCACATATATTTCAAATGATGCAGTAAATAAAAACAAACGGATGTATTACTATTAGTATTGAAGAAGCCATCAGAATATTTCGCTACTGAATCCAACGTGATGATAGATAGTGAAACCGAATGCAACAATATAGATACATACCTATAAAACATCTGAAAATAAAAAAGAAAAAAAAATTAAACGTGAAAAAAAAGAGCTAATCTGATTTAATAGTTGCATTATCAACTAAATTGATTTCCCGGTCAAATTATTACTGCTATCAGTAATGTTATCATTTTGGAATGGAATTCATAATTTTCAGAAATTCACTAAACTTATAATACATCCTAATAGATGTCATAAATGTAAGTAATTAACATCGATGAATTGAACATAATTCATGGAAATGATTTAGTTTGTATAAAGAAATGAAATGAGAATAATATTGTGAAATATAAAAAGAAAAACATTTATGCTATCTTTTAAAACTATTATTTCAAATATTTCTAATTATTATTAACCAAAAAAGCACTAAATAACATACCATTTAGAAAAATCGAGAATTATAAAACAACATGCCAATTCCGATAAATAAAATCTATAAAGCAATCCGAAACCGAATTAATAAATGCTAACACGATAATGACATGCCCACGCAGTTCTGCAGTGCCATCACAACCGTGTCAATGTGCATACATAAGTGTGTATGTATGTATGTATGCACTATGTATGTGTGTATGTATGTATGCACTATGTATATATGTATGTAGGCATTATGTATGTATGTATATATGTATTATGTATGTATGTATGTATGTGTGTATGTATGTATGTATGTATGTATGTATGTATGTATGTATGTATGTACATATGTGTGTATGTATGTATGCATGTATGTAACTGTATATGTGTATGTATGTAAGTGTATATGTGTATGTATCTTTATGTATGTATGTTTGTATATATGCACTGTTTATGTGTGTATCTATTTATCTATCCATTTCTATGTGAATATGTATGTACGTATGTATGTATGTATGTATGTATGTATGTATCTATTTATGCATATATATATATGTGTGTGTGTATGTGTGTGTACGTACGCGTGGGCGGTATACAGGAGAGTGATAAAAATATTTATTGCAATGTATCTTTCATATGTCTAGATGGAGTTATGATGTTATCATAAATGTTATCAATTCAATAAAACACCCACACATGTTTCGTGTCGCATACAAATGAATGTAATACACGTGTTTCCCCCAAAATAAATCATCCCCTTTGAAAATAGGCCCTAGGGCTTACGGAAATGCTCCTGATGTTTCATGCAGCCGTGCCAAGTCCTTGATAAAAATCTCGGGCCCACCTCCACCATCTTGCCTGGCTCTTTCATCGTTTGATGCTAGTCCTTAGCTGCAGGAAGCAGCCGCAGACAGCACCGAGCCTCCAGACTTATCTCTCTCTGATGGATGTTCCTCGATGACGACTGGTCTTTCTGTCTGGTAAAAAGACAAAATGAGTGATACCGTGTTTCTTCGAAAATAAGTCATTCTCTGGAAATAACCATCATGTTTCTTTTTTTTTCAGCGGGCGGGGGAACCGATGTTATTTTCAGGGAAACACGGTATTATAATATCGGTTGGAAGTAATACTTGTTAAAGACGACATGCAGTATGCATGATTCACTTTCATGCTGCAAGTAATGCATAAAAATACTCAAATAGTAGCTGATTGATTACAATGTTGAATTCAACTTTGTCAAGTTAATTAAAACTATTTATTTTAATTACTTGCAAATTTGAATTGATTCAAAGTAATCATCTTATTGATGCATCTTTTGCATTACATATTACTATTAATAAAAGAAAAAAAAAAATTATATTACTTCGTCATGCTAACGACTACTGTATTAATGATCATAATTTGAATTAATAATTTAATAAATTAATAACCTTATATGATTGCAAAAATTTATTTACTAATTAAAATTAGTTACAATGAATGTCATCTTTATGTCATTTTGTCAATTTCCTCTATTATTTCATGTATGTTATATTTACGTCAAATTTATATTGTCTAATTTAAAAAGCTTTATATGCGACAATTGTAAATACAATATAAAAGCATTTATATATGAATTATTTGGAAGCACTTTTTAGCATTAGATAATAGAGCATGATTGCATGTATAATACAATTTTACACAAAAAAAAAAAAAAAAAAAGAATTAATGAAAAATTTTTTAAATGAAATAATTACCATTCATACACGTTTTAAGCATAAAACAAATGAGATTTATCACGTTTAAAGAAATAAATAAACAAATCAAATATTTATGACATCATTTTAATGTTGACAAATTTTGTTTCATTTTAAATTTGATCATATCAAAAAAAGAAATTAAAATATAAATGCTTTATTTCTTTCAATTAAAACAATTCAATGGACAATATGTAATAAGAATTTGCTTTCCAGAAAATCATTATTTTAATCCTATTTGATATTTAGTTTTAACTAAATAACGTTATTGCAAATGATTGAAATACTTACTGTATAACTGATAAAATTAATTAGATGAAAAATCAAATTTAATCAATTTCTTTAAAAAATTTGCAAAAATTTGCTTCTCTCTTAAGGAAAAAATTTTTTACAGCAAGTAAAGGAAAAGAAACGATGAAAATAAGTTAATTGAAACTTATCATTGGAGTTGAAAAAAAATTTTTTTTAATTTAACTTTTCATTTTAAATTCTTCCAATCAAAGAGAAATTGAAATAAGCAAGGGGTATAAATATTCTATCAGTTATCGTTTTTTGACTATTTATTTAGTGTTTTTTAATGGACGAAAAGAAAAAAAAGAATTTCACTTGGATAAAAGTTTTATTTTTTTTTAAATGATCGCTAAATTTATTATATGAATGAAATTGAGATTGAAATTACAATAGTTTGTAGTGATTATAATGTAATATATTTTCAAAAAATTAATTTCTTAGAATAATTTGAAAACGAAATAATCAAAAAAAAAAAAAAGAAAATGGAGAATCTTTCAATACTTTCTAAGATTAATTTATGAAAAAATATCGTATTCTTCAAATCATATTTCAAATACAAACACATTTATTTATTGAGATCAAAATATTCGATATCAGATTTATAACACGTATTATTAATAATGGAAGACATTGTTCAAATATTGATGAGATCATGTAAAAATTATTGTTATTGATAAATTAAATTATTAATTTTTTGATTTTCGAATTTTTTTGATTTAAGAAATATTGCTCAAAAAAAGAAAGTTTATGAAAATTTGCAAACTAATTTAATTTTAATATTACTCAATTAATTTACTAATACTCACATAATCTGATTTATTTTTGATTCATTGCTATTAATTATGCATATCCTTTTGACAATTGAAAAAAAAAAAATGTCAATGCAAAATTTGATGGAAGTCAAAAAAGAACAAAGTTTCTTATGTTGCTTTAAAATATTAATATTATCAAATAACACAAATTTTGAAATGAAATTAATATCTGAGCATTTCAAATTGCACCAATTCCTTAATGCATTAATCGATAATCAAAATTTGAATACCTACTTTTTTTTCATGTATTTTTTCAATTTAATATTTGTTATTTACTTTTTTGATGAATATTTCATTTTTTATCGGAAAAATTTGTCATTTAAACATGACATCATTTATCTTTCATAATGCAGAATTCATTGCTTTCGCTTATTTCTAAAAACTATTTGATGCATTATTTCATTCAATTTGTGAAAAGTTGTCATTATGAAATGATGTTAACTGCTATCAAATTGTTTTCATATGTTTAAATTAATTTTTAAGTAAACAATTTTCATCATATTTCAACATTTTCAAGCTAAGAAAACATCTCATTATTAATATACAACAAAATCAAATTTTAAAAACAGAAAAAAAAACGACAACTTTCCCATTTTTAATTTTCTAAATTGTTAAGTATTCAAATTATTATTTCATAATGAAATAGCACCGTTTTTATATTTTGTTGACATTATCAACTTATCAACTGGATATCAATCGTAATTCCAGCACTTTCATCGATTTGCTAGTGGTTTTGTATTGTACAGGTGAAAATGATTTAATCATAAAATAATCTGAAATATATGAATAAATACGTCAAATAATCTGAAATATATAAATACATCTAAAATGAAAATGAAATATATAAATAAATGTTTAAAGATTATTTTGGTATTAAGCAACAGTTGAAGATAAAATCAAAAACTAATATAAGAACGGTTAAAATTTGGAAAAATTAAAAATGAAATTGAGATCACAAAATTTTTTTCTCCGACATAACAGCAATAAGCTGAGGCAAAAAACTACGAAATCATAATATAAATCTATAAAAATATAAACTTACAAAACTTGATTATCAATAATATTTTCTAATTAAGTAAAATGTATGAGAAAAAAAGAATAACGATAGAATGCAAATTTGAAATTAAAAAAATGAATAAGAAGATAAAAATTATTATCAAAAATTCAATCAAACATTGGAATATTTTCAAAATATTCTAACATTTTAAAAAATTTTTTAAAAATTTTCTCAATTTCAGCTTTCAATACACTAAAAAAAGCAGAGAAAAATAAACAAAAACGAAGGAAAATAATCTAAAAATAAATAACTATATGTTAAGATATGATAAGTAATTTAAAAGAAAAAAAAAGGAAATGATAAGAAAAAGAAAAACGAAAATTTACAAATTCCAATTAAAATCTTACTCATTTGCAAATAATATCCAATTTATCCATCTAAAGCATAATGTTTTAATTCAGCAAATACTTCAGTAAAATAAGTTGATGATGAATTAAGTCGCAACATATCGGCACTTCGTTCATTCACTATTTGCACACATCGATCCCAGAAACGATCACGATCCTATAATTAAATAATTAAAATATAAAATAATAAAATATCGTGCATAAAGTATGAAAATGTAATATATATATATATATTTATTTATTTATTTATATTTATATTTTTACATATACATATATATATATATATATATTACATTTTATATATATATTATATTTATATGTATATATATTTTTATATATATTTATATTTATATTCATATATATACTCATAACCGGAAAAAAATAAAATGGTTATATCATTTGACATTACAAAACATTATTATAAAATTTTGTATATTGCAAAAGTTTATATACTAGAAAATTTTTTATGCTGAAAAGTTTCTTATGCTAGAAAATTTTATATGCCGATTTGTTGTTTCCTAAAAATGGTACGAAAAAAAATGCGTCAAAAGGGAATAAAAGTTTTTTCTTTTTTTCGCCTAAAAGTGGTATTTGTGCGCTTGTTTCTTTGCTTTTTTCGTTTTTATTTTTTATTTTTTATTTTTGTTTTATTTTTAAACTTACTGGATATTTGGCATGCAATTTTCGTTTAAGAATATAGGAATACATTAAAAATGATGATGAAGGTTTTTAAAATATTCCTATGTGATAGAAAAAAAAGGGTTAATTCGATTCTGATTATAACTTATTGAAAGCATTTCCTTTTGGGATTATTTATTCATATACTTATGTACTTAATAATCAATTTTCAATGATTAAAATTGTTTTTTCGTATTTTCTCCTTTTTTTCAATTACTTTTTGGATATGATTTGTTTTGCAACTTTTACTCAAACAACATCTTTATCGTACTTTTATCTTTGCGAGTTAATTTTGTAATTAACAAATTAATATAGAATTCAAATATTTCGAATAAAATATTTTTTATGATTGATCTTTCAAAATAATCCAGAAAAAAGAAACTTAAAAAAAGGATATTATTTGAACTTAATAATACCACAAAGTTTATGTAATTTTTTTCTTACGATGCAAACGAATAGATTATTTGTTGAAATACTGTATGCAAATCATTAAAGATAGCACACTCGTTGAATAGTTTTTGAAATTAAACTGAATAATTTAAAAGTTGAAAATTTAAAGTCTATTTTAATTAACATCATATATTATCATCGTATATGAACGATAATTATTTTGGAATACAGCTTTCTGAATATGAACATTTGAAATAAATTATTTATATAACTTAATATATTAGTTATTGGCCATTTGAAATTTGTAATTTATACAACCAGGGATATCCAGGAAATGACCATTTGAAATTTGTAATTTATACAACTGGGGATATTCAGAAATATGAACATTTGAAATAGATTATTTATATAACTTAATATATTAGTTATTGGCCATTTGAAATTTGTAATCTATACAACCGAAGATATGCAGGAAATGACCATTTGAAATTTGCAATTCATACAACTGGGGATATCCAGGAAATGACCATTTGAAATTTGCAATTTATATAACCGGGGATATTTAGGAAATGATCATTTGAAATTTGTAATTTATACAACTGGGGATATTTAGGAAATTATCATTTGAAATTTATATTTATATAACCGGGGATATTTAGGAAATGACTTTTTGAAGTTTACAATTTATAATTGTTACAATTTGATTAAAATTTTAGTAACCGAATTAAAGAAATAAATCAAACCTGATCAATAAGAAATGGTTTTAATGGATAGGAAATTTCATTGCCTATATAACTGTAACTTATATAAAGACAGGTAAGTACAATTGATTGCAATTCTTCCACCGTTTTGATCGTTGCATCATTACCCACCATACTTTTCACTAACATATAAACAAAGACTAAATTTGCCGGATTAATGAATGCTACATCTTGCCAACCCTAAAATTATTCTGATGCAAGTAAAATTTCTTTTTTTTTTTCTTACAGTTGAAAGAAAAATTTCAATTTCAATTCAATAATTTCAATAAAAATTATTTTGTTTTTTTCTTGCAAGTCAATTTAAATGGAAAAAAAAATTTTTTTTGCCATAAATTCATACGCTAAATTAATTTGAAATAGTCATATGATAGTTATAAACAAACTAATTACCGTATCATTTTACATTCCTTTTAGCATCTCATCATGGCCTATTTTGAAAAGTAAAATTTGAAAATTGAAAATTTTAGTGATAAAATTTTTTATCAAAGAATTAAAACACCTGTAATAAAAGTGCCCTATCAACGGTCCTAAGCCACATGACAAGTTGAGCAGGTTCAAAATGTCGAATATGGCATTGTTTTGATAGATACTGTCCTAGGCCACGCAATAATTCTGATGTAGATGCCTGGATCACCGTCCTCCTTTTTACATTGTCACATGGAATTGATGCTAAAAGTATAAAAGTTTTATTAGTATTATTCCTAAAAATGATCCACCATAACAGTAATCGTTATTTGGTAACTATTATAGCTATAATTGTTAATGATTATAAACTCATAATTATGATAAAATATTTGCTAATATCTCATCAACATTTACTATTCCTTTTTCTTAAAACATTTTTTATTTTTAGGTGTTTTGAAAAGTTTTTCGATTTGTTTAACGGAAAATTAAATAAATTAAGAAAACAAAAACACCGAATATACATAGTTACGTACATGTATATGGTATTTCGATATTTTTACAAACAATTTAAAAGATCAAAAATCATAATAATAATTAGTTGAGTGAACTTTTCTATCGTTATTAATAGACATATCACAAGTAATTATGATAAATAATCATGATTGGTATTAATATGAAAAATGATAATGATTATAATTATTATGAAAAACGATCATTTACAGTGATTATCAAATACATGATAATTATACCTTTTACGGTGCAATTGGTGGAAGTTTTCTGATTAGTCTTATAAGTTTGTTTATCATTCGTTGAACTGACAATACCCACTGCATTAGCAGTATTATCATTATTTACTGCACAACTACTACCAAATGGTTGTTTTTGAGCACGATGTGTTGGTGATAACGGTGTCTTTGCTTGAGGACCAATAGGACTGATTAAATTATTATTGACGAAATCCTAAAAAAAGAAAAACAGTTACAAAAGTTTTGTTTTAATATCATACAATTTTGAGTATTACATTTGTTCCAATACAATTGATAAAATATATTGAATTTCCTGAAAATTTTTCAATTTTTTTAAAAAAGTTTGATTACTAATATGTTAAACAATTACTATTAGGAAAATAGTATTATTGGATAATTTTGAGAGAGTAAAAAAAAAAAGAAAGAAGAAAGGAAAGAAATTTGTTAGATGACAAATGAATGATCGATAGTTGGAAGATAATATTTCCCATAAATAATTAAATACTTGAAATTGGACTTAGGAATACTATGAATAAACATATTGACAAATTTGATAATCAAATTTAGTAAAAGTATATATATATATATATATATATATATATATATATATATATA